GGAGAAGTGGGGGGAGAGGACAGTGAGTCTGGGATTATTTCCCTCTCTATTTTTTTAGGTCACTTGATAGAACTGTGTCTCCCAAAGAGAGGTCGCGTCTCCTCCCCAGATTCTTCAGGGAGAAACTGGTCACAGCCCTGTTTTCACTTTGCTTTAGGTTAGGGGATGGCAATGCCCGCTATATCCAGTACCCCACTTCACCATCCTCTTTGTTTTCCAAAGAAAGATCATTCACTCATTAACAGTTTGGTTAAAGTCTTTCGTGGATTGCTGGAAGGTGTTACGTGTGCTGTTGGAAAAGAAGAGCATTCTAGGGGTCATCCTTCCAGCTACACTACCAACCTGACAAGAGAGGCCATGAGTGTTGTGGAGAAGTCAAACACTTTTTGATGGGATCTAAAACCTGCTTCAGAAATGAAAACCATACCTGGCACTCCTGACATGGCTGGGAGTCTATGGCCCTAGGGTACCCAATTCTATCATTGTGCTAAATGGACATAGTATGAAACTGTTTCCTAATGACTTGTTAGTATGCACAAAGACGAGAACATCACTCGGTTCTCACCAGAGAAGCTTCCTTTTTTGGCAGCAGCAGCAGCAGATGACATTACTATTGAGACTCTCAACTGGCAAACATGAAGAGAGGAGGAAGGACAGTACTCAGCCTCAGCGGGACGTTCATGTCATGCCCTCCTAAAAGTCTTTGGGTCTTTACGGAAGAGGAGTCAGAAAGGTCTGCAGAGTCCAGAGGTGATGGATGACTTAAGGGGACAGTCTTCCAGAACATCAGATCGTACACATGTGAACTGCTTGCAGCAGTTGTGACAACATGCATAAGACTGTGCGAGATCGAGTTAGAAAGAAATCCCAGCGTGGAAAGGGGAAGGTGAGAACAAACTATCAGCAAGGAATCGCTGGCATTCGCTGTCTGCTGGGACAGTCCATTTTCCTCAGTGATGTGAGTCCTAGCAGGTCAACTGCACTTTACACCCCACTTGTAAGACTGCTTGAGCAACACAGACTGGACTCAGTCGAGGAAAGAAAAATAGAGGGGGTGGGGAGAAGAAAGAAAACTCAAAGTTGAGTGTGTGTGTAGGGGAAGGTGGAGAGGGTGGATCTGGGAGGAGTTAGGTTTAGAGGGATAGTTTTTAGTTTTTAGCAACTTGTCTACAAATGTGTTCATGATATACTCAAAATATATCAACAATTTGACTAGTAGAGGAACTTCTATCAGAAGCTATTCTTCTTCAGAGGTTTGGGCACATTGCTCCTCTTTCTTCTACTACCAGTGTTGCAGTTGAGAAATTTTAGGTTGCTCACTCTATGATTAATTTTTGGTATGGAACACATGCACTCATTCTCCTATTGAAAACACGTAGTGGAGTTTGTTTCTCTTTACTGTTCTGGAGTTTGTTTTGGGGGTGCACCTGAGAGGGAGCCTCCCTTGTATAGTAGGTCTCACGTGCTGGGAGTGGCATGGGAACCTCATGAAAAGATTCCACACTCCTCCTCTCCCCTGTCAAGGGTCATATCCTTGTATTTTGCAGCATCGTTCATTTTCTTGTTGGTATTTCTCCTGTTTTCTCTCTCTCTCTTTTTCCCATGTTACAATTAGAGATTTCCTCATGGTGTTTTTCTTCTCTACTCCTGCAAGCGTTCCTTTCTGCCATTGCTTCCTAAGTCACAAGGACTTAGGAAAATACTCATTTTCCCTAGACTGTGCCTTGTCCTAGCTTTAGCAGTGACTCCCAATGAACACAGTGACTATTAAGTAGGGATGAAGTGCATTAGGTTTCTGTTTCTGCCCAAGCGAATGGCCCCCAAGCACTGTGGCATTCACAGCACAAGCTTTCCTTGTAGTTTCCTGAAGGGGCAACATGGGACTAGCTGTGTTAAAAAACCATATGTTGGCTCATGCTTTCCTTTTGGGATGGTCTAGGGGAGAGCCCGCTTCCTTGCTTGCTTGTGTTTTGATAATATTTAGTCCTCTCTGGTTGTAGGACTGAGGTGTCTGTTTGCTTGCTTGAAATAAAATAGGAGACACCCCTAGCTTCTGCAGGCCACCCACATTGCTTCGTTCATGTCTCACTCAACTATTTTCCAACAATGTTGGTTGAGTCTCTAATCTTCATCTCTCTGTTACTGCCTCCCTGCGACCTCAAAAGGACAGATGCTCTGCTTCCAAGGACTCACATGCTTAGATTGGGTCTAATCATTTTGTCTGATATTTCCTCTCTTGCTCAAACTCAGTACTCACAGTCACAATTTTGAAGCTTTTCTTGCCAAGTAAGGTCACACACTCATTGGTTAAAGGGATGAAATGGTTTTCTTGTTGTTATGACAAAAAAATAAAGGGAAAGGAATGAAAGATTTTTGAGGGGAATCAGTCCATCATGGTGGGAAAAGCATGGTGGCAATAGGAACGTGAGACAGATGGTCGTCATGTGTCCCCAGTACAGAAGCAGAGATAAATGCCACTCAGCTCCCGTCTTTTTTCACCCAACTTCCTTGGTTTTTTTCTTTTCTTCTTTCTTTCCTTCCTTCCTTCCTTCCTTCCTTCCTTCCTTCCTTCCTTTCTTCCTTTCTTCCTTTCTTCCTTTTTCCTTTCCTTCTTTTTTTCTTTTTGTTTTTCTTGTTTGTCTGTTTTTTGAGACAAACTCACTATAATGCTCTGGCTGTTTTGGAACTCATTATGTACACTAGACTGGCCTCAAACCCACAGAGATCCATCCACCTGTCTCCTAAGTGCTGGGATTAAAGTGTGCGTTGGTGAACCTGGCTCCTTCCCAAGTGCTGGGGTTAAAGTGTGCATCGGTGAGCCTGGCTCCGTTCACTCTTCTTACCCATCCTTGGAAGGGTGCTGCCCACATTTTGGGCATGTCTTCCTTCCTCAGCTAAACTTCTCAGCAAACCCCTCACAGCATGCTCGGTGGTGTGTCTCATTAGTGTTCTAGCTGTTTCCTAAAGCAATTGAAGAAATCATTGAAATTAACCTAAGCGGAGAACAAACATTCTGCAGTGCCATGTTCAGCTCCGGGTGCAGGGAAGGCGCTGGTCTAATTTCCACACTTAGGAAGTCCCCCAGCTCTTAGAAAATGCAATGAGACTGATCTGTACCTCAGCGAGCTGAAAAGTCTTATCAAAGATACAGATGGTTTTAGCACAGAAGATAAAAAATCAAAAAGACATCTTCTGCAGACCATCAATAGCCCTCACCTGGAAGATAGTACGAATTTGTTTTGAATGGATCCAGAAGAAAAAAATTAGAATCAAGGGGAAGAAGCAGACCTTGGGCCTGCCAAAATGTTTTCTTTGAAAGGCTAGTAAATAGCTAGGCGATTTCCCCCAGAAGGCTGTGACCATTCTATATTAATGTTGGGTTTGGACACTCAATAAATCGATGCCCGATTAAGCTCTCTATCTGTGCAAACATACTACTGCTTACCTTTGATGAAACAAAGATTAATTAAAACATAGTTTGTTTTCCGCTCCCAAAGAAGTTGGCCCAGAGTATTTTCTGACTGATTTCAATCCTGTCCTTCATTCTTTGCATTTATATCTTTAATAAGTGAATATTTATTGAGCCCCAACAATGGCCAGATAATGTTCTAGGTACTGGGGACACATCAGTGAATTAACAAGGAAGAAGACAGCAGTCTTCCCGGATCTTTCTCACCTGTTTCATAGCTCTGCTTCCTCGCCTGCAGCCCCTCCCTCTATGAGCATCATCGCTGCTGAGCTCTGCTCAGCAATTGTGTAAAAGGGCAACATGGAACCGGTTGGGTTAAATTCATGCATAGACTCTCATATTTTTCTTCTTGAACGTCTAGGGGAATGTTTTTCCTAGAACAGAGAAGAGTTCAGTGCTCAAAGATCCTTGCTTCTGCTATGCACTTGGCAGGAACGCTTTCCCACGACGGTCATCACAGCCACGCTTAGGTGGTGTCCTCTTTGGCCTCCTTCATGCTCTTCTTGCAAACCAGTCCTCTGCAGTCAGTGCTAAATGAACTGACCACAGCCACCTGCCCACTTGAGGCAGAAATCAAGGCAAACTTCTTAGATTGACTGTCACCCACCCCTCCACTGGCAGTTCCCAGCTTTTCTTCCCATGTTTGCTGTGATTCGTCAGGATTCTTTCCTTCCCTTTAGGAAGAATGTGTCAACCTCCCTCCATGCAGGTCTTTGCTTGGCCATTAGCTTTGCCTAGAGTGACTTTTCTCTGTCTCTAGATTCTCGAGTCCTGTTTGTCTTCCATGTCAGAGTTTTCCATGAAACTTTTTTATTTTTTCTTTTTTCAGTGGAACCAGACATTGACCTTAGGGTCTCCAGCATGTCAGAAAAACTCTAAATGCCACTGAGCTAGGTCCCAGTCCTAAAATTTCTTAAAATATCATTTGCCCCTGGAGCCCATATCTATCCCTCCACCCCCTCCTGGCCAGCCATCGAGTTAGCTGTTATATCAGCACGCACTCGCTTGTTCACTGGGTGAGGCTTGGTAAAGCAAAGCTCATGCGTGCTGTGTTTTCCTGATTTCTTCTTCCAATCCCGGTCACACATGTCTCCCTTGAGTAACAGGGGCAAAGAGAGGAAGCAAATCCTAGTTTAATTTCTACTCTTTAAGAAATGGCAGCTGAGCCCCTTTGTTGTAAACCACACAAAGAAACACAGAGTTCAGTGCACAGAGGCCATCGGTTCTGGTATGCGCCTGGCAAGTAACGTTTCCATCCATTCGGAAAACTGAAATGTTTCGATGCAGGGGGAAACCTAGTCATTTGCTCGATCCTGTTTTCATGGAGGGCTGACTAAAAACTGCTCTAGGACGAATAAGACATTAGCACATATGCCATGGGAGAAGCTACGGAGCCCGCTGCTGGCCCAGGAACAGGCTTACGCGTGAATATGAACTCCGAGTTTTAAAGCAGATGCAGACGTACCTCTTGCGATCTATGTTCTAATCTTTGCCCCTGAAGATGGAGAACTTGAATAAACAGAACCAGTACCTGAGCAGGCAACGTGGCAGTGATTTTTCTGTTGCAGTCTTATATTTCTGCACCACGTGAAGCTGTTTATCTGGAATATGCCATAGTCGGTGCTCCCATCCTCCAGGACTCTCTGGACTGTGGTGTTGTAGTGACTCTCATAGTACGCCATGCAGATCCCTGTGTGAAGAGAGAAGGACCTAAGGGGACCACAGTCCTTTAGCTCAGCCTGCCCTATGGGGTGAATTTCTTTATACATGCTACGCACTGGCCCCCTTCCAGCAGACATGTGGACGGGGTGCACAAGGGAGAAATATCAGCAGGACACGGGAGTGTGTACAGGAGCGGGGGTGCCAAGCAGAAATTTCACAGCAGCGGGCAGCGGAGCCTTCTCTGGGGAAGCTAGTGTCTTCCACACTGGGGTGGGGGTGGCGTCATTGTTCTTTTCCCTCCCTGTGATCTCGAACCCAGGACTCCAGCAATGAGAAACCGAGGACGGTGGGGAAATGGAGAGAGGGGTGAGCGTGTGCGGCTTAGGAAAACGGTGGAGTGGAGCCTGGCCAGGCTGGGGACATGGAGGAGGTCTGCACCTCCAGGCTGATTCTCATAAGCTAAAGTGGAACGAGTCAGGAGGCGGGGAGGATTCTCACAGTTTCCAAGGCTAAATCCTCCGAAGTTGTCCAGGCCAGCCTTCACAAATATTTTTGCCAGTTTACATCGAGTGTAGACTTTGGATTCTGCAACGACGCTGAGGCTGACAATCAGGGCCAAGACGCCGGCAGCCTTCATCCCCAAGTCCCGTAGGAAGCCAAGTCTGCCAAAAGATCGGGAGAGCGGTCAGACAGCCTTGATTCATCCTTGGAGCACCAGTCACCAGAATTTCAGAGCATAGTCATCCTGGTTGTGGGCCACCCCACTTTAGTACTTCTTGGCTGCGGGCACCCCCACCTGATTAAGTCCTGCCTGTATTAAGCCATTCTGAACCTCTACCGGGGTTGGGAGAAAACAACTCAAATATAAAACACAGGGCAGGGGTAAGACTGAAGGCTCTTGCCGCTGTGTCCTTAGAATCAGACTAAGAGAAATGTATCGTTCCTCACTGACATCCAGGTAGAAATCATGGCCTTTCCAGATGTTCACCTTAACTCTCCGTGTAGGCGAGGAGAGAAGAACACACGGAGCGAGGCATTCTCTACATATGCACTCATAATTTTGGCAGCCAGAGATGGGACAGACAAGTGCCCGTGGGGACCTGGGCTTCTGGTCTGCTGAGGGGTCTATCTCCCTGCCATGTTCCTATTTAGATGCTTTTCCAGATGCAGAGGTGCTAAGAGACATACCAGTCTCTCGTTCGACATTACAAAAGAATGTGGTGTCTTTTTTGAGAGGTCTTCCTCATTGCCACCCCCAGTGGAGATCCCAACATGTTTGGCTTCTAGTGATTTAGAGGGGAGGGAGGACAATGGGTCACATGGGTGGGAAATGTTGGGGCGTGAGGAGGCAACAAAGGTACCCGGTAATGAGTTATTTAAATGGGGTGCAAAAGCACCTTTCTTGCTGATGACTGGCTGCCAACAAGATCTTTCCCATCTAAATAATGCCTTCTGCAAGCGGCATCACTCTGCTAGGGTGAGGCTGGCCGGGTATTTCTGATAACTACTCAGGACACTAACTCTAGATTTGCACAGTCTTTGTCTAGTACTGTTTTCTGCAATTGCCTAGAATCTTCCCAAGGTGCTAATTATTCTCATGAAGATAGATTCCCCAGTTGAGAAGTTTGAAAGCAGGGCTCAGTGTGCAAGTATGGACTAGCAGAAAACCACAGTGGGGCTTCCAGTTTCTAAGCAATGGGTACCCGGATGCTGGTGAAGGACAAGGCTCAGAAAATTAGACGTATTTGTCCACGTAAGGTTTTATTAGAACCGGGGTCTGCCTGGATGGTGGTATATTGTGCTTGACTATTTCCACAGGGCAGTTCCAGGCTCCAGAAACCATGTCAGACTGTAGAGGCCACTGGAATACCTACAGTACTCTCTGTCTCTTCATGGGAAAATGTGCTGCCCTGTGACTTTACACTAGGTGCAAGAAGACAAATGATGTATGGGATGCAGAGCCTACATATCAAGTCAGTTTTCAACAATTGCATCAGAATCTGCTCTGAAAAAGATCAAGACAAAAATCACAGCAGGCATACTGTTCAGCCACTCTGACGCCAGGGCTTACCCTTGTGGGGCTGGTAAGATGTCTGCGATTCCACTCTTACTGAGAAGGCAGATTCCCAGTGCCATCTGTAGAGCAGTTTCCTGGGTGATGGGGGGCGGGGGAAGGAACTGGTTCTACTTACTCAGTCAGTGAGCCGTAGATTCCAGGACCTTCCTGAATCCCCTGAAGCCATTTCTGATTCTCACAAGGCACAAGTGATCCTTCTCTAACTCAAGGGCCTTTCTGTAGAGCCTTGGCAAAGGAAGGATTCTTGTCACCTTTGTTTGCAGCTGCCTGGAGGTTCTAGAACTCTGAAGTTCTCAACAGTCTTGTTCGATGTCTACCTGCCTCTCTTTTTATTCTTACTAGTCAATAGCCTGATCCGTGAGACAGCTCAGCCAGGACCTCCCCTGCAACTGAGGTTACCTTTATAAGTGGAAGTCTTCAAACTTCATTCCAACCCCCATCACTAAGTGAGCAAGAACCCAGAATTCCAATTGCAGGTTCCTACATGTCCATGTTCTATCAAGCATTAACATTATACAAGTTAAAAATTTAAAGATAGAGGTAAAATTAACATTAAAGACTTTAACAGCATAAATTTATTTGCTTTAAGCCAACTGCTATTAATAAAATAATTTTAGAAAAACAGGAGAATTCAAGAATTCAAGTAGAACTTAACAGCACCCAGAGGACAGAGATACAATATTAAAGTGCAAAAATTCCCCCAGTAACATGATTAGCATTCTTTCATTATTGTTGAAAATGCTGATGTGACACACAAGGTCTGGCTACAAGCCCATTTGTCCCCAGGCTTCAATGGGACAATACATCAGAACTTTAATTGAGATATTCAGGTCTAGTTAGAAAGCTATTGCTGATGGTGTTTAACTACTCACTTTATTTTCTTAAATTTCTTCTGCCAATAATACAAATGTTTGGCCAAATTTTCATTTAAGTCAGCATGGTACAATATTGTTCAAAGCTAGACTAACTGGGGCTGGAGAGATGGCTCAGAGGTTAAGAGCACTGGCTTCTCTTTCAGAGGTCCTGAGTTCAATTCTGTCTGTAGGACCAATTCCTGGGAAGGGGATTTCTGGCTTTTATGACTTTGTAATATATTGTCAGATTGTCTTCCATATGGACTCACGTTAGAAGGCGGGGCTTCTGACCCATTTCCTGCCTCACACACTGTATCATCAAATATGGCCATGTTGCCAGTATGAGGTAAAGTATGGTTCTCAGTGGAGTTTCAGCTTCTGCTTCCCAAGCTTCAAATAGTTTGAGCATCTTTCGTTATGTGGACTTTGTTTGTGGATGCCGTGAAAAGTGTGGAGACTCATTCTTCAAAGGCCTTTCAGCAGCTTCAGCCCAGATTTTACTATTCAGCACGACCACAGGAACAGCCGAAGAATCTTTTCTATTTTCTTTCTAAAGTACCTGCTTAACATTTTTGCAAGCTACAGAAAAGATGTATAAAAGCCACTCATATCTTCATATTCTGTAACAGTCACTTTCTTATTGCTGTTTTAACATACAGTGAACATATACATTTATACCTAATAAAATGGGTGAGAGGTTTATGTGCTGATGACAAACCAAAGAAAATCTAAATGGAGAAAAAAAGACACACCAGGCTCACATGCTTATATTAAGATTTGACTTTTGAGCAAGGTGGTGGTGGTACATGCCTTTAATCCCAGCACTTGGGAGGCAAAGGCAGACAGATCTCTATGAGTTCAAGACCAACCTGGTCTACAGCGTGAGTTCCAGGACAGCTAGGGCTGTTATATAGAAAACTATCTCAAGGAAGAAAGAAAGAAAGAAAGAAAGAAAGAAAGAAAGAAAGAAAGAAAGAAAGAAAGAAATTTGACTTTCATATTTAGTAGTCTCAGGTTAAAATCCCAGAAAGCTTTGGGAATATCAGTCAGGTTATTCTAAAACATATTTTAAAGTGAAAAAGAGTGGGGCAGCTAAAGCATCCTGAAAAGATGGTGAAATAGAGGGCCCACAGTGACCAACTTTAAAATAATACAAAGCTGCCTCAGTCAAGGTGGGGTGACTGATGAGATCAACTTGTGGGTCAATGGGACAGGAAGAGAGCCCATCAGAAGACAGACAGCAAATGGCAGAGATACAGACGTCATTAGATGAGACCTTGTTCTTTTTGACAAATGGCTGGAACAGTGATGAACAAGAGAAGAACAGAAGAAGGCATTGGAGGAGATGTGCCCGATACTCTATATAAGGCATAAGTAGCTGGTCAATGACCTGCTTATGACGAGCAAAGTTGTACAGCTTCTGTATGTCAACACCAAGAACCTCTAAACTTTGTGCCAAATTTTCGTTTTGAATTTTATGCTAAAATTTCATTGTCAGACTCATTTCATGAAACAATTAAAAATAATTATAAACTGGGCTTGACCAAATCAAAACTTTAGCTCTTTGAAAATTGCTGTTAAGAAAATGAAAAAAACTAGCCTAGTTTGTGAAAATATTTACGTTTCACATATCAGGTAAAAAGCCCTGTGTCCAGATTATATACAGATCGTGTTATTTAAATTTCAACAATAAGCAAACAGCCCAATTAAATATGAGCAACAGTGAGCAATGGGGCATCTCTATCACACCCCTGCAGGGCTCAGGGACCATCATGAAAGAGGAGGCAGAGAGGCCTGGAGCGAAACTGGCTTCTGAGCATTAGGGTTCCTCTGCCGTCCTGAACTCACAGCCTTCTGTCCAGGGCCTGGGCAAAATCAAGGCATCAGCATTTCATCATGCAGTGGGGAGGAGCTCTTGAGACTCCTCCCCTAACTGAGGTGCCACTGACAGTTGACAGCTGCTGGGGAAGTCAGTTTTCCATAAGGGTTTGGCCCCTGGTAGGTTGACCAGTAGATAACTCCATGCCCTTGAGTAGTACACAGTCAGCACAAATTAGATTTGGTGGATTGTTATTACTCTTAAAAAAAAAAAAGACACAAAATTGGGAGGGGATGGCAAAGCAGGGATGGACCTAGGAGGAGTTAGGGAGGATGAGAGAGAAGTGAATATGATCAAAATATATTTTATATATATGCATGCATGCAAAATTTTCAAAGAATAAATAAAATGTACTTACATTTTCCTTTGAAAGAACTGAGCAAAACCATTTGTAACAGATACATCAAAGAAAGATATGCAGGTAGCAAAGCAGTTGAGCGGATATCTCCCATCATTCATTGCTAAGTAATTTCTAAGACCATAATAACTTACTGCTTCAGTGCAAACTGAAATTGATGACAACAAACTGGCTGCACCCAATAAAGCCAAGAAGAAAAAAAGAATATTTATTCCTTTCTTGGAGAATGCAGTGTGGCTTACACATTTGGGAAGTGGCTGGATAAAGTTTCTTGCATCATTAACACAGGCTTATGGTAGAAACCAAACTGCTCCAAGGAACTTATTCAAGTGAATAAAAAAAATGTGTTCACACAAAAACAAATTAAATGATGCCTGTAACATAGCTTTATCAATAACCATCAGGAACTGGAGGCAGCACAGATGTCCTTCCGCATGGAAATGTAGTCGTAAACTTTTGCACATCTTCCAGTAGTGGACAGTAGTACTGCTCAGTAGATTGATCTTCACAACCACACGGATGGTTCAGATGTCTATTGTTAAGTGAAAGCAATCCAGTCCAAAGACCACATATTAAATGATGTCAGTTACATGGTTTTATGAAAAGACAAAAGCATGGGTCTAGAAGCCAGGTAGTTGTGGTGAGTGATCAGGGAAGGGCTTGATAACAAAGGGCACTTCTCGTCAAGAAGGCACGGCAATATTCTCTGTAGTAGCAGTGTGATGGATACCTGACTTCATGAGTGAGTCAAAGCTCATAGAACCACACAGCCCTAAGAGTGAACTTCTGTGTGTGAGTAAAGAAAACTCAGTCAGAATGTGGGGCTTCCTGAGATGGTCTTCAAGTGTAGCAAGAAGACTTGCTTGCCACAAATGGACCTCCCCAAGGGAGAGGAAGAGAAGGCCACTAATAGAACTAGAAAACAATGTTTCTTCCTGACTACTTAAGCCTAAAGACAAAATATCTGTACAGAAATACTGCACTTTGGTTGTTACCTTGTTTCTTAGATAGAAGAAGGATTATCAAGTCTATAAAACTCTTCTAAGGACTATGGAGAGCTCGGTTAGGGTTATCAAGTCTATAAAAGTCTATCAAGGGCTATCAAATCTCTAAAAACTGCTCTAAGGATTACGGAGGGCTCAGTTAGAAAAGTGCTTCTTACAAAGTACGAGGACCTGAGTTTGGATGATGGCACCCATGTGGAAAGCTGGGCATGTACCTGTAATCCTATCTCTGAGGAGATGGTTTCAGAACAGTCTGGAACTCGTTAGGCAGCTCAATGAGTTCCAGGTTAAGTGAAAGTCTCAAAACATTGGAAAGTAGCTGAGAAGAAGCCTGATGCTGACCTCTGTCCTCCCCTTGCACGCTTAGAAACATTCAGTGACACATATATGCACATGCACACTTGCAAAACTATGTGTATACAGTAGAGATAAACGAGTTTATCAATAGATTGTAGGTAATGCGGGTCAGATTTCACACTGTCAGGGAAACTACAAAGAAACAAAAGACTAAATCCTGTGATGGTGGATGAGGACAGGTGATATTATCATCCACCTGGGTACCATCCATCCTCTATGCATTACCTATTATCTACCTATGCACCATGAATCCTTTATCCATCACTATTATCATCTACCTGTGTACCATGGATCCTTTATCCATCACCTATCATCTACCTGTGCACCATGGATCCTTTATCCATCACTATTATCATCTACCTGTGTACCATGGATCCTTTATC